CCTGTTCTAGACAAAAGGCCACAGGCGTCCATTTCAGGTCAGTGACCTCATTTGAAATTAAGAAGGCCACGGTGAGAAAATCTAAATTGATGGCCTATCGAACCTATAAGCCTCAGAAATGTATGGTGAACCCAAAATGTAGAAAACCTATAAGCCCATATCATATTTTTTAGCCTGAAGGTGAGATACGCGTGAAGGAATACATTATGCGGCATGTTGCTAAAAACCCTCGATGGGGTTATTTCAGGTCAGTGACCTCTGCTCTGCAGGAAATCCCGATAAGATGTCTGCTGACGTCCTCATGATTAAGAACTGCGAAAGGAGTATCAGCTTAAAGCACGTTCTTCAATGAGAAAGCAGTTTAGGCTTGAACTCTGTCAAACCAAAAGTGACTGGCTGAGTAAAAATTGTAACTGGCTGGAAAACTACGAGAAAATGACTAAAAAAAGTGGTTGGTTAAGACAAAACAGGCTGACCGGCTAAAACCATCTGACTTCATGCTTTTATATTTTGTTTGCTGGCCAACCATCCACAAGGTATTTCGCTAGCTTCGTGTCCTTAATCACTCACTCACTCGTTACAAAACATTATTTACAACACAGTACATTGCAACACATTGCAAAAATATAAAGTACTGTAAAAGGCAATGCTATGAACTTCACTCTAGCATAAGATACTACGACGTAGGTTATAAAATACGATAGTATAATGATGCAATTTGATAAAATACGGTACGATAAGTACGATACGATAAGATAAGTACGATAAGTAAGATACTATAAAATTTGAAGTTATAAACCCTGCACAAAGTCGAAACGATAAACTCGTACAGACATATGACAAACAATCATACAGGTAGCCAGCATAGGCTCAAAACTAAGGCACATGGCGCAACATTGGCGTTTTGAAATGCGAGTTTTCAATCTCTCAGAAGTCAGAGATAAAGACATAGTGGTGGTCGGAGGCAGGCGGTTCCAGGTTATCACGGCACGACAAGAAAATACTCGTTTGGCGGCCTCCAGTCGGCATCTGGGTAGATGGAGAGACATTGGCATGGTCTTAGCGCGTCTCCCTTAGTACAAGAGAGGAACGTGACCTAAAAAGGGAAAAGACGGCCAGGGGCGATTCTTTATATTTTTGAGCCTTGTACACTTTCGGATGTCCTTCTCTTTCACCAAGTCATCAATCCGGGGCATTGGGATTGCAGAGTCGGTGTAATATACTGGCTGCATTTTATGCCAGAGGCAATCCTGGGGGCGAAATTTATAAATTTTGAATCCTCTGCACCTAGCACTTGTCGAGCCACCCCACGCGCAAAGACAGTAAAATATCTGTGGAAAACGTAGGCTTCGATATTTCACTCAAGTTTTATGGAATGAGTCGTAATTCTAACCACAATCGAACACTAATCTAAAAAACTGTCTCGTACATTTACCTATTGCTTCGTTTAACATTTTCTTGCCGCATCAGATTGAGCATTTTTAGGAATTGCCTTTTCAGAAAAAAATAGCCTGACTTTGACGTGCCATAGCTCAGCGACCTGACCATGTATATGTCATATTTTTTACCTCAAGATCATTAACTCAATTGCCTACAGCTATGCGAAATTTGGCGCGGCGTAGCTGCACCAAAACCTGATCGCTAATATAGTCGGATGTTTACCCCCCCCCCCCCCCTCCCCCACAGAAATGTATGCTTATCGTATAAAGCTGTACACAGGGGCGCAGTTTCACGAAATGAGTTCGGGGGTGGGCGGTGAAAAAGTACCCAAGACGCTCCCAATATATGTCAACAAACAGGTTTCTCCCATAATTTTGCTACTTGGCTTCCCAAAGCTGGGTATGGAGCTATCCCCCCCCCCCCCCCCGTAAATGAATAGGAAGCTACACCCCTGACTGTGCACCTACCAACGCTAAAAACCGCTTCGCCGCAACGGTCGGAAATTGTTTTGGAAAGCCTTCGGAGAGTGGTCAGATTGACATCCAAGCCCAGTGCGTGCTAAATTAGGTAGGAATGTGGCGATTCTACTTATAGCACATGCGTTTTCTACGTCACATTTACTGTCAATTTGTCCTCATCGCCGTTTCTAAAACGCATTTTTACGTACCAAATAACTTGCTTTTCGACTAAATTCCACATAAGTGTTTGTCAGCGCAGCTCGCTGGTCGCTGGTAGCGGTAATTTGGTCTAAAGGCTTGGGTACCAAACCCGGTTGCTGGATCCGCCAATGTAGCCGGTGTTTACCTCCCCACAGAAACGTATACTCTTCTCATATAGTTTTGCGTTTACCGACACTAGAACCCTCCCTCCACCTCCTATGAAAAGTCGTAGTTGCCCGCACCACCAGATGAAAATCGTAACTGTTGAGGGGATAAACGATGCAGTTAACTTTGCACACCAAGGGTCATAAGACACGCAAATTCTTGTGAGGCTAAGCTGAAAAGCTCTAGGGAACGGGTATAGCCTAAGTCCTTCATGGCTGACCCTATCCACGTCCCCCACAACCAAAGTACGTGCCGCCTTCCGTGGCCGTCATAGAAGAGTGTCAGCGGCGCCCTACGGTGGTCTCTAAGGGAGCGCCTTCGCTTACCGATAAGAAGCGGAGCGTACGTACAGCGCCTATGCTTCCTGGATCCACCATTGCACACGATTGTATGGCTTAAGTAAAATATTTGCTTTGTAAAACATACACAAGTTACACACGTACATTGCTTTTTATCAACACCAAGCGGACTAAATCCGGCGAGAAGAATGGGGGAGGGGCAGGTTGTGGGGTCTTCAGTTCGGCCCGACGCCAATGATTGACCAAAGCTGACACCCATGCTATATTCTAGCCATCTGTCAAAGCTCAGAATAATGACTTAGGGTCTTTTTCTTCACAACAACGGACAGATCAACGCTGCTTTCTAATGAGGTGACGTTCCACAACCACGCAGCGGTTGGAAAGGTCAGCCAAGCTTCCTTCAAACCGGTTAGATCCGGATATACAGCACCTACCATGGCTCTCAAACGAAAATAGCCGCGTAAATCCAGGCTTATGCGTTGTGGTCTTAAATGCCGCAGCTCCTGAACGACTGCTGCACTCACAAACCTGTTTCAAAGCTCATAAACTGCGTGCCATTGTGACTCACATCGACAAGAAGACACTTAAAAAAAATAGGACAATTCCTGTTGCGTTTATAACCACTCCATTCATAATTATGCCTCATAATGATGGTTCAAACGCAATATTCATGCTTGGTGCGTCTTTTAAAATGTAATTGTCCGATGGACTACATGCCTGATCTTCACGTAAGCTTCCAAAAAACAGAGGAATGCGCACAATGCATTGTGTCGATCTTACGTCCCGCCCTTTTGGTTTGTGTCAGGGTTGACCAAGTTTAATACATTCAAAGAAAGAGAACGATTCTTGTGAGGTCTAATGCGAACAAATTCGGTCGCGGCATGCAGAGGTGCAACTGAGTGGCATCCGATGCAGATGTAAATTCTATAATACTAAATCATTTTTGCACCAAGGATGCCTGCAAGCAAATCATCGAGAAATATCACGAATTGTCCAGAGATTCTGCAGGCTCCATAATGAGTTTGCAAATTCCCTAGCAACCCAGGGACTTCGCAAACTCCCTAGGGTCTTTGCAAACCACCTGGCCATTCAGATAGTTTGCAAGTTCCCCAGACGGTTTTGCAACCCCCGGGTTTTTATTCCGCCTGTAACACAGGCACACACATACACACACACACACACATACACACACACACACACACACACACACACACACACACACACACACACACACACACACACACACACACACACACACACACACACACACACACACACACACACACACACACACACACACACACACACACACACATAGTTGGAGTGCGACGCGTCGTATTTTTGTGCGGGCAGGCTGGCTGCTGGCCGCCGGGTCCGATCACGGTCGCGGGGCTGGCACCGCCGCCCCGTGACTGCAGCCTACACGTACCGACTCCGCGTGCTGTTAGCCACGGCCGTAAGCGCTCATTGGCATGCGTCCCTGCGCCTCCTGCTGCATGCCCACACATTGTTGCATGACTGCAGATGAACAATGGGCGAAGCAGAATTACGTGCGTCGGTGTCGAGGCCGTTTTGCGCCCACGGCCACGATGTTGATAGGGTTTACATAACTAATGAGATCCCTGTCTGGAAGACCCACTCAGTGACCTGTTCTGACGGCCGCTGTTCCATAGCTTCACGGTCCTAGGCTTAAATCAGAATCTTTCAAAAGGCAAAAGCATGCTCTCGGTGGTAATCCCCACGCATCCGTAAGGGAACCGGTTCGTGCCAGCCCATCTCATTCTTAACGGGTCGACTGGGAGCGGCTTATCAGTGAGACGTTTTACGAACTGAACAACTCAGGACAGTTTGAAGAACGCCGGTTGGAGCCATAGATCCGCTGCCCGGCTCTGTAGCACTCATCCCGAAATCCGCATACGTTCTCCGCATTCATCACGAACATAGCTGATTGCCTTTTAACCGGGTGCTTATTAAATATATGATCTGGAGTGCCATGCGATCGGAAGGGATTATATACCATTATCGGGCGATTTCACTTTAGCAGAACAAATCGCTGCAGCCCAAATTGACGGCCTAGTTTATGACCGCTGGCAGTGACAGCTCCCCCTGCCCGATATATTTTGCACCAATGATGAGCGTTTTGTTGCCTAGCGCCCTCGTAGCGCAGTCTTACATTTATCAAAGCACTTGTGAGCTTGCAGCAGCAGGATGCACCTATGTCTTTAGATGAGTATTTGAAAATGCTCTTGTTGAGACCCACAGTTTTTGAAAAATATGTCAGTGGTTCACTTGCTAAACCACAAGCACATAAGTAGTGTCGAGCGCATTTCAGCTCCAGTCTGTCTCCATGTCTTTGTCGTGCATTCGTTGTTGTAATGCCTCGTCCTGACAAATGTAGGCGAGGCGTTCGCCCGATTCTTCACAATATAAGATAAAGTTCCGGTCAGCTGGTCCATGTACGTGCCTGCACGTCCATGTACAGGTGTATTTCTTATTCATATACGTCAACAGTCACACGAAGTAACGCATAACATTCCGTAACAAAACGAAAGCCTAGGCTTTGCTGCACTCTCTGAATGTGACACGTCTCAATTCGTAACCGATTTACGTTTTAGTCGGCACACAAACGCCTCCACTTTTTCAGGCTCAGTAAATGAACGTCTCCTACAAATGAAACATAAACAAAATCGTGCTTGCACTCCCACATCGAGACAAAGAAAAACCGTACAAAACCATACCCCACGGGTCCACCACCAGCCCGTCATCAAGGCGCACCGCGCATCATTTCAACAGGCTGCCCTGCCTGCCAGCAGGCTGCCCCGCCCGCCAGCCGGCACTTCACGAGGCAGTGCCGGGTGCCAGCGCCCGCGCTGGGTCAGGTGTCGGCCGCCTGACCTCGGCGGTCCACAGCCCAGTCGCAGGCTCAGAGAGCTACGCCGTCGCAGTCGCAGTTGACACAGCGGGGCTCTCGGGACAGGAACGTGCACTTCTCGCTGGGGCACACCTTGCGGTCTCTTTTCCTGCAGTTGTAGTGGTGGTGCGTCGCTGAGGGCAGAAGTTCGGGCTGAGGGCGCTCGGTGCACGGCACGGCAGCGCGGCGGTAACACGGCAGATCATTTAGAAGTGCCGGGCGAGGCAGAGGAGATACGCTGAAGGACATTGTTGAGGGAGCCTTGAACATGAATTGCATTCCGTTTTACGCAAAATGTGGGAAACGTAAGTCGGGCGAAGTGGATGGATTGGTGTGGTTATGGAGGCAATATGAATGTACTAAACCTTGTTAATAAACCACGCGACTTATGATGAATGAAGCGTTTATAGGAAGAAGTTATTATTCTCAGACTGGTCCCACCACCCGACCTCAGTGTTTCCCAATAAATCAAACGTGTCGTCACAGCGTCCGCGCTGCTTTTTATGACTATTCCCGTCCCGACTGATAAGTACGGTCGTTCTTACAATGTCATGCGAACAGTGTCTGTTGCTTGATTGACAGTCGAGTGCATACCAGCGCACAAACCAGATAACCGCAAAACGCAACAGCTTTACAGCGAGACATCACCGTGATGGCGAACAACTTCAATCACACTGGCAAATTGTAAATAATTGCATGTTCGCGCCGCCAGGTCTGCACGCTGCGTTTGAACCGGCGGCGTACCACAACGAGGTTTTTGGCTCGCTCGTGGCTTTCAACGGCCTGTTTTTCCACCCGGCGGATGGCGGGCGACGGCCACACAAGGACGAATATTGAGCTACTAGCGATGATCAAAGTTGTGCGGACGCACAATGTGAGAATAAAACAACAAAGATGTGGACATAGTCGAGTTTGAAACCTGTAGCATACGAACCAGTGCCGTCGCTCAGTGGTGTACAAGTGAGGCAATATCAAATAAATGCGGCGCAGCTGATGGCAAGCCCCTGGCAAAAGCGTGGCAACTGAAAAGCAGATTACTGTACGGCCGCGCAGCGGGAGGACCTATTGCGAACAGACTCTCCGAGGGCCGGAGCCTCGGCCACTACTGAGACAAGCTGCGTAAGACCTCCACGAGGGACCCACAGTTCAGTTTATTCATGGTTGTGCTTTCGGCATGCTACGATTGCATTCTTACGTTAGTGTCGTTCCAGTCGTCACCTCCGAAAGACACCACATCCTCATCGCCACGGGCTGCAAGTCAGCCGATGTACTCACGGAAGCGGGGCTTCGGTGGCGGGCAGGGCTGCACCTCGTTGCAGTCGCCCGTGTTGCCGTCGTGGCACTTGCACTCGAGGCAGGACTTGCCGTCGAGCATGAACCACTTGGTGCCGAGGACACAGTTTCGGTAGTTGCCCTTAGCGCAGATGATGTAACCTGGACGGAACTGCTTCTGCGCCTTAGGCCGCATGTCGACGACGTAGCCGGTGGGGCAGCCGACATGTTCAGGCCATTCCTCCTGGCCCCGAACCAGCCGTGCTGCGCCACACAGCCAGGCACATGCGTTACAGAAGGTCCTGCCACGCTGCGCGGTACACGGTGCAATCACGAAGAATTCCTCAATCTAGACTGGACGTGCAAACGGACCAGTGGCACGACGTCATACGCAGGGTAGTATACAGGCACCTAGTGGGGACGCAAGAACGTCTCGGATAGCGGGAGGGCCAAATGATTTCTGAAGCCAATTCCTTTCATATATTACTATAGGGTTCATGCTAAACTTTCCATTGGAATATTACGATCTTCTGAGCCTCTCACTGCTCTTCCCACGAAGGTATGAGCGTGCATGGCAGAGGAAAAATTATGTCTTAAAATACATGATGACAACGAATGGAAGGTTGAAACAACGAATGAAATGAACACAGCTGAGTCTGGCAGCACGTGCAGCTCATGTTGATGTGGTGGGTCCTTTACGCGGTATTTCACTTGGAAAGAGGAGTGGCAGGCGTCACACTAATCTGCAAGTGGCAGCGGTTGGATTCCCTGCTGCGTGCTGGCATGCTCGACACCTGAGGTGGATGAGCGGCGGGACGGAAGAGTGATAGCCCCCAGTCTATCTGTTATCTTCCTTGTGTCCCTGGCAACCAGCCGGATGTCTGCTAATCCTTCTTTCCTCGAGTCCAAAAGCGGCATTTCCATACAAACAAGTAAATGCCGACACGATACAAGGATAAAACTGCCTAATCGCAACACAACGCAGCAACACAACGCCAAACATCGGCGCTGTGCCCTCGGCGACCGACTGCGGGGCTTTCACGCCTATTTATCATGGCGAACCTAACGGAACATTTTCCTTCAGTTTTGTTTCGGTGTGGCAAGCAAAGACATTCATTTGGTCTGAATTTCCCTACAAATATGACGATTGATACTGGCAGGGCGGCTAAGCTTTACTCACTGCCCGCGGCTACCAAGTACCCGCCTGCACGCGGTGACGGGGTGAAGGGAACTGGGCAGTGGTCTTACGCTTCTCCTAAAGCTTGATATTAACGTCGGAAACGAAAGCTAGTCGAAGACCAAGGTCTGGAATCGCTAAGTCCGGTATTAAGCTCAATTTCATGATAACTGAGCTGAAGATCGAGTTCAAGTAATTGTTTTTCCGAATTGATAACTCGGACTGCGAGTATTATTCCAACGCATTCTGCATACATCAGCATAATGTTTGGCTTTATCCTTGTCCTATTCACTTCAAGTGAAAGTTAACATGAAACTATAAAAAGTATAGTGATGAGCATGCAGAAAACGTATGCAAAGGGCGAATCAAGGGAAGCGGCCGGGCCATGCCCGCGCCCGGAAATAGGCAGAGCTTGGCAAGTGATGATATATTGGTGAATCTAAGAAAAAACCTAAGCAGCTGTTACTCATGCACTTCTTTCCACACCACTGTTTAAAGCAAAAGCGAACAAAATACGACGAGTCTTTTACAAATGCAGGACACCTTTTGGACTTAGTCTCCCCCTCGGATTGACCCCTCTGGATACGCCCTTGCACGTAGTCCATGGCATGTCAGTACCTCCACTCCTTTGCTAGGTGTAATGGTAAGACAAAATGCATTCGCATGTACAAATTATTTGCTTAGAAAGACAGCTTTGGGGTACCAAAACCCAGCCACATACTATCTAAAACACCTGCTTTGCCTTTTATTCTTCTTTAGAGTAACGTTATATGGTTGTTTGGATCAGGGCCTTATCTACCAGAAATGAACATTTCACGCCTATGGGATGGAAAAGAATGAATAACAGTGGAGCAGGACTACAAGCACCTGGGAACCCAACCGCCAAGACTAAGTTTGCGCAGGGACTTCTCTGCGAGGTGTGCGCTGGGCGCCCAGACGGGGCCTCGACAGGGGGCCTCGCCAGGGGGCCTCTCGACCTACTCGAGGCTGGCGCGTACAACTTACCCTGGACAGCCGGGGCCTCGCGAGAATGCAGGACAAACAAGCAGAGAATAAAATGGCGATGTGGTTCCTCACCCACACGATGCCAAAACAACAAAGCATTTTGAGAGGAAACTCTGTCCAAGCCCTGAACTCGTCAGAGTGTGGCTACAGTGGCGCCTCCGTCTGACCTGGGTCGTTGCGGCCCCTGGCCTGAACCAGCAGCAGTGGTCCGGCCAGCAGCAGGCCACACACCAGAGGAGTCAGCGTCATCTTGTGCGAGCGGGCGCGTCTGAGAGGCTACAGCCACCGCCGGCCGTTTTAACGCGGCGGCCGTCAGCCGGCCGGCCGCCGCCAGATGTCTCCGCCGTCGCGGCAGGTGGAGCGCGCAGCGCGGTCACAGGGGCCCAGCCCATACAGCGGGGGCGGACAGTTACCTGGGTCAGACACGGCAGCGGGGCCGGACAGTCATCTGGGTCAGACCCGGCAGCGGCACCGGACAGTAACCAGGGTCAGACCCGACAGCGGGGCCGGACAGTCACCTGGATCAGACCCGACAGCGGGGCCGGACAGTCACCTGGGTGAGACCCGACAGCGGGGCCGGACAGTCACCTGAGTCAAACCCGACAACGGGGCCGGCAAGTCACCTGGATTCATCAGGTCAGCAAATGACGGTGCAGATATGCGAAATATGAGCCGTTAAATATGTGGATCCATTTTATTTGTCGCGCTTGCCTCTTCAATTTATCTCTATATTGTACTGGCTTATTCTGTCACGAGGTTAAGCACGCTTTTAATGAGATCGTTCGTCAACAGCATTCGTGACCATTGATGTCAATCGTCAAAAGGAGCCCATGCGAACATGACTAGGGTGAACCTCCCTCCAAAAGGTATGGATATAACTCCTGCACAAGTGTGCAGATTGGAAGATTGCTTTGGACACGCCCAACACCGGACTCCGTCACATGCTTGGTTGGGCATTACGCATATCTGATGCTAGCGTCGACTCTGTCTGCTCCCAAATTGAGCTTGACACACATTCAGGCTATGCTGGCTAGGATTGACCGAAATGTGGCCAAATTTAGTCCGTTTTTCGATCCATGCAAGACAACAGCAACACATTTGTTTATCACCCGAGATTTTGCTTCGTGTACTTGTTGGGACATTGTTTCCAAGGCGGTCAGATATTCACATTATATCGTTTGATGGAAACACTGCCTTAAATAAGTCAAAATTAACTGCTTGCGTGCCTCTGTCTGTTTAAAAAAGATCTCGGTTGCATGCGGTTGACTATCGACAGTGTTATTTGCAAATTGGAAGCACCAGGCTGCGCCTAAAAGGCATTTTAATCTCAATTATCCATCTGTTCTTGTTTATCGTTCCTCTTCTTCTGAGACAGTTTGCGAGATACAAGCCAAGAACGGCCAGCAAGGATGGTGTACTCACAGTCATCGACCGCGTGGGCTTCACAATTTCACTGACAGCGAGAATGGGACCAGCACGCCGGATATCAAGCACTACAGGCATCCCACGCAGTTTTGCTGCCAGCTGGGCTGGATATCTCAGACGATAAGCCTTACGGGCAGCTGGGACTGATTATGCTAAACACATGGAAGACAAGCCAGATTTGTCATGACGAACCCAAGTCGAAATGGTTGACCAGGTTAACATTTCCATACAGTTTTGGTACCCTTCCGCCATGTGAAGGACAACTTACTGGCATGCAAACGAAGAGCTGGAGGTTGCCAGTAAAACGGCATGCACTATTCAGCAGCGCTCTTCGAACTTGTAAAGTTACACGCAGTAGCAAGCAAACATAATTGTACTCAGGACGTACGAGCGTACAAGGTACGAGTATAGGGTAATTTACTATTTGAATGTTTTCAGTTTTATATCTGTCATATTCCCTAACATAAGGAAACCAATGCGTATTTAGCACATAAACACGAATGTTCATAGTTGTAACTGTAAATATAAATGTCAATGCACATTTCAAGCAATTTACTGCTGATTCATACTTAGTAATAATGCAAGGTAAATAAGTGAAACGATGACTCAACATTCGATGAGCAGCAGAATAGGCAGCTGCAGACTGAAACGATGCGGTATGGTCAAAAAGTAGCAGGATCATGCCAACGTACTGAGCGCAGGGCGTGTAACCAGCGTTTTGATTGTCCAATTTTTGTCATGCATCGCCATAGAGCTGCTAAGCTTGATCTTATGTTGGATGAAGAAATGCCAGGTTTTGCTGAATTCAATGGCCGCTACCGTCTGGCTCTATCCCAGTTCCTACGCCCTCAGTAATAGGCAGGAGCGTGGCATGAAATCACTTGAAAGCAAGAAAGCCGTGGCTGTGCATGCGACGTAGTTCGTGCACCGGTCATCATCTAAATAAAGGATATATCGGACATATTTACATTTATCCGTTCCGCCATTTTCGTGTTGGAAAAGGCATTACATCCATCTTCGCGGGGCACTCGTGTGAAAGGCTAATTTGAACAAAATCGTCGACTTGACTTATCATTGTTTAGAACGTAAAGCATCTGCAGCAGTGTTTAACGTTGGGCGTTTTAATGAGAAATTATTGGAGGCAAAAGTCTATACAAAGTTATTGACATCCGACTGTCAAAAATGATTGTCAAATTTAAAATAAGTTCAAACTTGAAACGAGGCAGTTTAAAGACATTTTCACCCTCATTTCATGCCTTCAGTTCATCTAAATTCTAGGATAAAGCGGGCATGGCAACGGCGTGGATCAGTCGGTGGTGCTGGAGGCTGGGCCGCGCCCATATTGGTCACATCGGAGTCGTGTGGACCAAGGTAGGCATGAGAGACTATTCAATTCAGGAATCATTCATCTTGGGCCATGCCTCAACAAGGGAGTTCTATAAGCAATGAATACCTGGTACTAAAATATAGGAGTCTGTTTGGTCGCGTCTGCGTCAGATATGCTAACGTGTCTTTCCAAAAGGTTTGAACAGTTTCGGAAGGGAGGGCGGGTTTATTAAGAAGATGATGCTCTTTAGGGAATCATGCTGCGCGAACAAATATTATCTTTCTTACAACCGACAACATGGAACTTGATGAACTCCCCTTCTTTTCAAAAATGTTCTTAAGCCCCTGCAAGACAATGTTAACCAAAAAGGCTTCCTAAAACCTGCGTTTTTGTAAGAAATAAATTTTGAAACTAAAAAAACAGCTGTGTAAAATTTGCACCGATGTCCTTGGTGCAAACGGTCGTTATCGCATATCGCAGCCAACTTAATCCAGCCCGTCGCTGCACGGTCTTTTTAACTTATAACGAGGAGAGCAGCTTCTGATCGGACCGATCCGCAGTATTTGATCACGTGCCTTTGCTGCACCCAAATTTGTGCAAAAGCGCCACAGAATCGAGGCCGCCGCAGAAATATTTTTGTTTTTTAAAAGGTCAGCGCTCGTGTCGCCGCAGCATTGGCTGCCAGCTGCGTACAGCTGCGGGGCTCGGCCGGTTGTAAAGCTCGATTTACCGGGAAACTTATCTTGATGAGTCCAAATCTCTACCGGTTGACAAGCCGCCCAAAGTTCATTTCTCAGAGCTCTCCAGCTCCAGTCTACGATAAGTCACGCCACACTAGCTCCGCCACCGCGCTTATCTACCGGAGTTCATGGAGATCGTGTGAGAACGTGCTGACTCTGTAGTTGTGTGGTTCCAGGTGGGATTTCCACGCCCTGAAAAATCCCAGCGACAAACCGCATGAATCCTACGCCGGCTTGAACTTTACGTAATCGTGTCATACAGATGACGGGATGACCATAAAACAGCTGGACGGGTGCGGCCAGGCGCGGCACGGCAAATGGCACGGAAGCGCGTCACTGTTATATGATGGCAGCTAGGACCAACGTCAACAGGTCTCGTCAGTACCATGCAAAAGGTTACCTAGCCATGACTACGACGCAATATAACAACAGGTTGCTGTAGGTGTACCAGTTTGTGTCGCACGCGCAGGCTTCCCCTAAGCAGCAAGATGAATCTGACCCCCGATAATCGACAACGCCAGGGTGGTGAAGAAGTGCAAGATCACAAAACGACAGTTTAATGCGGTGATGCGATAAGAAATTCTATGACGGGCATTTCGCCTTCCCAGCAAGGCACCCGATATACCTACGAGGCATCACTTCACACACATTCAGAACAAGACACAACGCACAAAATCACAGCTACAATCAGCCTGGAAGAATTGAAGAGGCCGATCGAAAAAACTGCCGAATTCATACTCATCAGAGAAAAGGCCCTAACATTTCAAGTGCAAACAGCTTCTTGGCCCATTCATTCCCCTCTGCACACCGACGGCTAGCTCAGAGGTGTCTGATGCGGCTTGGCCTGACTAGAATATTCTGTATCGAAAGGTGTACATTGCTAGTGTAGGTGTGCGCATCTTGATCTTTGGACTGGCTATGGTTCGAAGGTGTGGCGTAACTTGTGCAGGATGACGGCCACTGCCGATTCATGAGCTCATGGATAAACCCAGTTAGAAACCAGTTAGAACCAGTAAAAACAAGCATCGTTAAGGCGTGACACGCTGCCTGTGACAAGATGGCACGATGGGGGGAAGCGCACCAAGTGTCCGGCGCAAGCAATGGTGCAAGGAGGTGGAAACGAAATCGGCGTGATGGGCAAAGCTGAGCGTTGTCTCGGGAGAAATCAATGGAGTATTAGACACGGACATAGCGCATGATTGATAAGTTGTCTGGCGACGACAGTGGCGTGCATATACACAATACCAAGAGTAGGTGTAGTAGACTACGTAGGCTACAAGGACGTATATGTGTGCATTAATCTAGTAAACACTAGAAACCGAATACATGTTGTATACTTTGGTCGTTTGAAAAATTGTAACCTCGGAACATAAGGTTAGTATGTACCCGGATTTGCTCAGCGCATTATCATCAATTCCATGCTTTCCGCATCGCCATGTGCTAAAAACCTAACTGAACGGGCCTTGCTATGAAAGTTTTCATGAAAACTACAATTCCTGGGACGTTTTCTTATACATGACTCTCGAGCTGGAACAGCAGGTGGTAGTCTCTAATTATCACCGTTAGTTACGGAAATCACCGTCAGTTACGGAAACCATAGTTACTCTATACAGCAAGCTCTAGAGTAAACAAACAGCTTGGTTTTGGCCTTGGCACCGTTATGTACGGAAACTAAATTTTGCTGGACTGGAGCGCCACTAATGGCAGCACAAATCGGGCCAAAGATAACACATTTTGGTAATTTCAAAAACATACATCCTTA